ATATAATAGCGTACAAAAAATTATAAGGAAGCAAGTATCTGATGTCAATTATTGAGAATTGCTTGTTCCAAATAATATTAAGGAATCAGAGATATTCTAAAAACAATGATAATAAACTAAGATTAATGAGCAAATGCTCTACACCCTGATGTTATGGTAGGGGGCGTTTTCAAATTTAAATATAACGAATTCTGGTGCAATTTTCATTAATAATAGCTTTAAAAAGATTTGAAAGTTGCATTAGCTCTACATTTATTTTAAAATTATTATATTCAATCTACTACTGGTCTTAAAAGTATATTTTTCAGTATTCAGCGCTATGAATCTCAAAATGATAAAACTAAATTTAGATAATGATACTAATTATTTCAATAAAGGTTAAAACATAAACAAGTAAAAAAAATTTAAGCAGAAAAGTAACCGAAACAAAAACTTACAATTTACAGAGGGGCCGAAAGAGGTACAGGTCTTCCATTATTGTTGTTCCGTTAGAGCAGAGGTCGCCAAAGTGGTCTATATAGACCCCCAGGGGTCTATTTAACAAAAGCGGGGGTCGATCTGACACAGGGGGCGAATGGGGGTCGGAAAAAAAACAGTTCTAAATACGCAAATCACACATACCTAATTAAGTATGTAAAATTTGTGAATTTTTTTTATAATTGACTCAATATCAGTTTCTTTATAAAACATAAATTAATAAACGTATATTTATTGGGGTGAATCAAGTATTTACGTACCACCGCGCAGTGGCACGAACTCAGCGCAGTTTATAAGTCATATGCATATATGCGCTTGTCCAAATGTCACGCGTGACGAGCATTGACGTTACAAATGTAAATATCGTACGCAGTTTCAGCTATCTTTGCAAACAGTGTTGAATATTTGCAGTGTCATTATTAAAACTTTTTTAGTTTTGGATAATTATTTATTGTTTCATTAAAACCATTCGTTTAGTTTAGATATCAATTTTAATTATCAATGCACAAAAAAAAAGGTAAGCATTAATAATATGGATTAGTACAGCCCGCGACAAAACTATAGCACACTTTGTATTTTTTAACAAAAATTTCAAAATTGACCAATTTTGACGAAAATTAAAATTGATCAATTTTGAACCCACTATAGCGAATCTTGCAAAAAAACACCAGGCACACCCATCTCATTGATCACGAAGCAGTAAATCTTTAGTTATTTTACTTATTATATCTACTTAAGCATAATTACTTATTATTTAATAATAAGGTATTTAAATTTCAATAATAATATATTNTTCAATATTAATATATTTCTCATAAAACTATTGTTACACAATGTACTATTACTTTAATAAATGTTTAAAGTCATAAAATGAATGTACAAGCACAGTATCTATTACAGTTTTATTTTAATTAACAGAAAATTACTTTGTGGGGGTCGATGGAGATTTCGAAAAATTATATAGGGGTCGATGATCAAAAAAGTTTGGCGACCCCTGCGTTAGAGGCTCCTGCTTCTGTTATTCTGATGAATGCTCTGGGATTTGTTGCGAAACTACCGTGAGAAAAGTCGACATCGTATAATGGAAATTTCTTCTTGAACATTGTCCAGAGATTCAATTTAAGTTCCTTAATCACTCTTAGAACAATGTCAATAGTCTCCTCTTTATTATCTACAGCATTAAAATACATATGATGCAATATGCCATTAAAAGTTGTATCTCTAATGTTATTAGCTTTATCTCTATATGAAAGAAGAAAGCGTTTTTCGTCAACGGTAAAATATTTATTTGAAGATGTAGCAATAAAGAAGTCTAGGTCGTCTAAGCAATAATAATCGCCCTGATTATTATTAAGGTATTCAGTCATATCGTATTCAGTCATAGAATTCTGAAAAGTTTAATACTAAGGCCTAAAAGTTTAATACTAAGATTGGTAAGACTTCCAGTTAGTAATAGAATCAAAGTTATTAAACTAGTTGAACCCTGATGACTGCTAGTACGCATGCGCATTGTACATTTTGAACTGGCCAATAGGATTGAACGTCATACGTACGCATGTATGCCGTCACCTTTTCTAAAGACTAGATGACTCCTCCTCCAGTACGCTTGACTTACAACCCACGTGGTTTGTGCATTTTCCTCCCCCCCCCCTCCAAAAAAAGTCTTAATCTTTAAAAATAATAATAATTGATTAAAAAAGAAAGTATATATTCCTCCTAAAACCCAAAATTTTTATAGTTTTATGTATGAAACTGCAAGATTAATATGATTATGATTAATCATAACGAAAGTAGTGGTTACTCAGATTTATAAGCTAATTAAATGTAATTGGAAGAAGAAAAAAAATATTTAGACTAAGAAATTCAAAATTTGTGACACAATAATCTAATGAGTCTGCAACATATTGGTAGGTCATTTTTGTTTAAAAGTCAATTTTCGCAAATTCTTGTTACATTACTGTTATATAAAATTAGGTTACATAGTTTTTTTTTTTTTAATATGTATATAAGACAAATAAACTTACGGCTTTAAGATTTAATACATAAAAAATAATATGAATATGCGACAAAATTTAGTTAAATATACTGACTTGAAAGAAAAAAAAACTTTATTTAAGAATATTTTGGAACACAAAGTATATTTCATTTATACATTGTAACTTTTAAATATGTGATTCGTTTAAGAACACTTCTTTCACTTGAATCTTTCCATATCAAATTGATGGATTCTTAAAGGATCAATATTTTTATTAGAACTTTTGCGCATTTTAATAAAAATTATGTTTTTTAGCGACTTTTTTACATTGATGTACTTTTACATCTTGGAAAAATGACCGGTTGTTTACTTTACTTAAGTCGCCACTTATTGAATTAACGAGTGGTTATTTTCAGGTCTTCAGTGAGCCAGATCTGAAGTGACCGCATTAAAATATATTACATACTAATTTAAGGCCAAAACAGTCCATTTTAACAAAGCAATGCTTTACTTAAATGCGAATTTTTTAATGCAACATTTTTTCTCATATTTATAAGTAGATAAAAGTATTCTTTAAATTATTACTTCATAGGTTAAAAATGAACTAAAAATAATTGTTTGTGACTTTTATTTTTAATAAATAGCATACCATAAGATGATTTTGCATACAACATGCTTTTACGCGAAAATAAATTGATTTGCTGACAAACTGAATTGTTGAATGGCTGAAATAGCACAAAAACTGTGAATACAGTTTTGCAAAGAAAAAAAATATGATTGATAGTTTTATTGTATATTTTGAAAAGAAATACAGACTATGAATTACGACCACCTATGCCTAAAGATGAGAATTTAGGGAATCCTTCCTTTAAAGGGGATTCAAAGTGTTCTACATTTATTTTGTAGTCAAAAAGAAGTAATAGTTCGAAATGCATAAAAATAAATAATGGTTTTAATTACTTTGTAAAATTTTCTAACTCAAAAGACTACATTTTAGTTGCAGTTCAGTAAGGACCCACAAATGAAAACAAAAATACCTCGGGGTTTATGAAATAAAAACAGGATTTTATACATCGGTCATTAAAATAGAAGTTTCGCTGTTATGGGACATCTGAAAAGGCATGTAAACCTTACGGCAACCTTGTGTCTGAATTTTCATTTTATTGTCACGAAAATGTTTGTACTAAAAACCTTTTTTTCAATAAAGCAAAAATATTGCAGTTTCAAAAATTTCATCCTGAAAGGATCAAAAATTAATTTTTAAAGCTTTTTTGAAAAGTATTGTAATTTAGATCCATCATGACGTTTTAGCTTACGTCACGCTAGCGATGAAATTGCATTGCCCATTAAAATTTCATGACAAGGTGGATTTTAGCTGAGCTTGCAAGACGTTGAGAAAATAAACCTTATAATTACCTAGATTTAAGATTAGTAAGATTATTTTCACCCTAAGACAAACTCTTTTTAAGGTTTTTATATAGAGGGTTGTTTTGCAAGGTTTTGAATTAGGGTAATGTGTGTAGAATAGAGCAGATAGTCACAGATCTCATTTTAACGTTAGAAGGTTTACACGTAAGCCACATCGCAAACCTTTTTAGCTTTACATTAAAAGGTATTTGCAGAGAGAAAATAAATCTTATTTTGCTATTTGGGATCTACTAAAGAGCGCAGACTGCATCTATTTTAGATTGTAATCACTAAGAGAATTATATTTAGAGTTCATGAAATAAATAAAGAGTTCAGAAAAAAAATTCATGATTTAAAAATATCCCACCATTAACACTTTTTTTTCTATTGACTACTGCTTAGCGAGGGGTTAAATATTAATAAAGAAAAAGTAAATAAATAAAACTCAAATTCACTTCAAATGCATAAATTTTTTATAAGAAAATAATCTTAGCTCTAAGCTCACGTTTTTAATTTTGTAATTTCTTGCTCAGGATTTTAAAACATTGTTTAACTCTCACAGCGCAGAATCTAAGAAAATGTCAGAACTTGATTTTGAAGACTAACAGCATACAATACTTTAACAGAATATTGGAAAAATAATAATCCTTTAACAAAGTTTAATTAATACTTAATCAATTAAAAGGTATCGGCAGCTAAACTGTTTCTTTTTTTCAGACTACCTATTATTTAAAAACGAAATTATATTTTCAAAACTAATTCGTTTGGTTTAGCATTAAAATTTGCTAAATATTCAAGCTCAATTTTGAATTAATGAATTAGAATTCTTGACTTAACTAGCATAAGAAGAATGGCACTTGACAGCAGCTTAGATATCAAGCAAAAAAAGAAAACTTCTTTTAGCTGAATAATATTTACCTTTTCCAAAATATGATATTTGATATCGAACATATCTGACACATTAGATTTTTTTTCTCGAAAATATAGTTATCCTGATTTTTTTGTAAAAAAGAATTATACTATACCAATACTCAAAAGATGATAAGTTACTTTGATTGATTTATTAAGAAGGAAAATTATTTAAATTTTAGAATATTTTTCCTATTCGATTCATTATCATAATTTAGAAAGAAGAAAATACACATGAATTATTAATTAGCTCTCTATGTACAAGAATTCAACATTGACCATAACCTAAAACCTTTCAAATTAATTAAAAAAAACTTTAAAGGCTTTAAGAAATTAGAAATTTTTGCTCAAAGTGGAGTTTCTGGGAAAAATAGTTAAAAAATATCGTTTCTAAAAAAAGTTGCTAAACAGTCTTCATTAAAACTATGCAATGAAATGTACAGAGCATAAAGTTGTTTGACAGAAAAAATAACCAAATTTAAAAACTTTCAAATTAGTTTTAAAAAAAATTTAAACATGCAGTATCGTATCTCGCCAGTCTTCTTAATACAAAATATTGCTTAAAAAACTCCTTTTATACAAACATATGAATAAAAGTACCAATTCTTGTACATTCAAATTCCTGTCCAGAAGATTAGTTTGGAGATGTCGCTTTTCTTTTTCTTATTCTACACTGCAAAACAAGTTGAATGTAGCTTTAGAATATAAAAATTTTTGATGAATTTTTTTAAGATGTAATTTATTAAATTTAAATAAAAACATTTAAAAATTGAGCATTTAATTGTAGCAGCTATATGCGCTTGATTTTGGTAGCGTTTCTGACAATATTTTCAAGCTTTTTCTCATTGGCAAGTAAATATTATTGTAATTTTTTGTACAAAATTAAACTAAAATTAGATCACTTGCCAAAGAAAAATTCTTTGACTTTTTTTGCTGTTTTTTCCCCCTTATCCATGGACCAAAATGACTGGGCATTACTGTAACTTTTTAAAATGTTAAAAAAGTTTGAACAGACATGCTTTTCATTTTCATAAAACTGTGGCTCCCTATTTAGCATAGAACGCGCTGACTTAAATATTGATTAAACTTAAACTATCAGTACTGAACAACTGTCGCAAACTCACAAAAGTTAAACTTGCATAGTGCTCGTAAAAAACACAAGAGTTTTCAAATAATATACTTAAGTTTATCGAATTCTGATATTCGTGCCATTGAAAAATACTATCAGTGCATTCCTACTCAAATAGCACCTAATTTGGTTTTTCACGTTTAGTTTTTTTTTTTCTATCTAATGGTTTTATTTTATTTTATAACCATCGTTGAACAGCTGACCCAATTTTTAGGTTAACAATTACTGATGTCAAGTTCCATAACCTTGTAATTTTAAACCGAATTCAGATGACAAGGGAACTCTCAGATCAAGTATTTGGGATAAATCTGTCTTTATGGAGGACATTTTGATTTCATTTGCGTTACATGGAGAGGAAAATCACGAAACCCTCTCACAGTTAAACGGACGGTAAGGTGATTCCTACCCAGGATCCGCTTACTACTGAAGATATTCCGTCTACTAGTGAAGATATTTCACGTCAGCAGTGTGGTCGGTGCGAGCCGGGTATGAAATTTTTATCAGCCATTTTAGAAAGCCATCGCTGTAATTCGATTCCTGTTCACTGCATTGTAAGGCGAAACGCTTTATCCCCTGAGCCACTACGGTTCCAATCTAATACTTTGTAACCGTAACATTTAAGCTTTGCTTTCAAGGATGTCATTTAGGTTTTGTTTGAAATACATACTTATAAAAGGTAAGAAACTAGAACTGAAATTTAAAAAAAATTTGAATTCTTATAAAGTCTTGGATCGAAGGATTACAGAACATGAACATATTCCTATCTGACCTTCATGTTGCTTAAAATATTTATAGGAAGCAATGAACAAAATTTAGTTTAATTCTAATTCATGATTGTACAAAAAGTAAAATTTGTTAATTTTACTTTCTGTACATAGTTTTTTATATTTTAATATGAGCCGCGATGGCTCAGGGGATTGAGCGTTCGCCTTCTAATGTCACTGATTGAAGGGGGTAGAAATTTTTGTGCGTCTCACTCAGACCTGTCTGTTCCTACCACCTATCTAATCTAGAAAAACTTTCCTAACTTGACTTGATCTGGTCTTTGCTGAAGTTCCTGTCCGCCGCAGCGGTCACCCGACTTCTTCATCTGTATTTGGCTGAATGGCAACTGACACTTTTGGCATATAAGAAGAAAAGCAAGGAGAGTTGACGACTGGGTAGTCTACTGCATTAAGCAGGTCACATCTGAGTATGTATTGAGATAGAAAAAATTGTAAATTGAACTGAGTGATGAATTAAGCAAATGAGTATAGATGATTTGTAACATGGGGGCACAATTAGGGGTGGTATGCTCCCGAGCTGAGAATCACCCTTGTTCATTTCCTCTTCCCGGGAGCATCCATATATGATATAATATAGGGGGGGGGTATCTAATATTTACGGTTTGTAGTAATCTGATAGTATCCCGTCAGAGAGCAGGAAGTGTAAAATGGGGTTGTGCATTTTTGCATCCTGTATTAGTTCTTTGTTCAAAATAAGATTGAATTCAGCTGCTGTACTTTTCTTTGCATCACTGAAGAAGCTAGCATTTAGTTTAGTCATGAATTCTTCAATTGAGTCTATATTTAGATCTTTCCTGATATATTTGTTTGGAAAGTGCCAAGGGGCACCGGTCATCCTCCGAAGGAGTTTATTTTGTAGAACTTCCAGCTTTTTTTATTTGTGTGTTGGTTAGGCAACTCCATGCTGGGCTAGCATATGTAATGATTGGTCTAATGCAACTTATATATAGTTGCCTTTTCAAGTTTAATGGTAATCTGGAATTGGCATTAAGTAGTGATCGTAAGCTAGCAAAGGCTGCTTGGGCTTTTTTAGAGATTTTATCAATGTGGTTATTCCACGATAGTTCATTATTTAAGGACAGTCCTAGGTAGTCTGCAATATTAACAATTGGTATATCATTGGAGAAGAGGGTAACATTATTCGTAATGCGTTTATTCTTTTTTTCTCCCTCTAATATTTATCAACTTTGATTTGTCTGTGGTAATAGCAATTTTATTCCTGGCGCACCAGTTTTCAATTGCTGGCATATGTTCATTCAATTTTTTTAGTGTCTTGATTTGGATTTAGCGACCTGGTAGCAATCGCTGTATCATCAGCGTAGAACGCTGTTTTTCTCTCTTTCTTAATTTTAGTTACTTGTGAAACAAAATTAACTACCCAATTTTTTCCTATAACTTTTTACCTTTGCATAACTATCTATTTCAACATCAAGAGAATCCCAGTGTTTTAAATGGTGACTAGTTTACATTAAATATGCCGGCTCACAAAGTCCTCCAAATTTCCAAAACAAATCAATACCTCTGGTGGTACTAATCGAGGAGTTCCCTCGTCTTTTGGATTGGTTTCAAAATTGCAAGGCTACGGAGTTGAACATTGGTAGCCAAGAACTCAAATTTGGGTCGGCTGTTCAACGACGGTTATAAAATAAAAAAAGTCAATTCTCGCAAGTCGCCATATTTAGTAATTCTATGTAATTATTAGGCCAACAACTGTGATTTCAATAGTAAATTCACATTTTCATGAATAGCACATACACATTTTATATTATGGTGTTTTACTTACGCATAAAATATGGATAGGTCGTAGGGCAGCAAACTTAGATTTGCCAATTTTTATGTTTGGATGCGTCTGCCTTGATACTTGATATGGTTACATCAAAGTGCACATTTGGCTTTCTCTCTGTTTTGTTTAATTAGAAACACATAAATGTGGATATATATTTCAAACAAACTAAAAATAAAAGGAACAATCAATAAAATGAAAAAAATTCTTTGACAATAGCAAACAAAAACCAATCGCACACTGTTTATTAACATGATGAAAAAATATTTCACGTACAACAGTGAAACTCATAGCACAAAGAAGACTGTGTATATAGGAAACAATAACACATGGAAATAATAATTCAAACATTCAAATCCTTTCGAGATTAGTCCTTCATATCTTTTATAAAATACTTTGAAAAAATGATTCCAAGTTAAAGTATTCAATATATCTTGTAGAAATCTTTCAGAAGTAAATACTTCTGGACTTGTTCGGGAACGCCCAGTTCTTCTACTCCTTCGGGCAACTTAAAGTTGCCTTTTAATCTGCTTCTGATGAAGTATCTTGAAAGGTGCTTCAGAGATCTTGGACGCTTATCAGAAGTTTCCTCATAATTTACTAGATTGCAGTACCATTGCCATATGTCATTTATCTTCTGATAGTATCTAGGATTGATCCCCTCAAAAAGCCTAAAAATATCGGTCTTGGTCAGAAGGGCATCTGGGATAGAGCTCCAGAGTACTCGCACGGCCGTTTCATAAAATTCAGTTTTACGGACATACATACGAGTATAAAGATCCAGAACCTGAATTGCACGGAAGTTGAGAGGATTTTTAGACATATCATACAAACTTTTCACCCACGTCTCGTAGTCTTTTTTATTATCAAAAATCCTAAAAAGTGAAGAAAAAAAAATTGCAAATTAATAGATTCTAATTCAATTTTTGAATCGCGTGTAAAAAATGTTACTCTGTTTCAATACATTTTAAAAGTGATTGCCAACACGAAATTATAGTTGGTTCCGTTTCATGTGGATATGAATTCTTATTTAAAGTAAGAATAGTCGAAATTTAAAGGAATTCCTCAAATACGGCCTCAATAGTTTCGACAGGAGTGTCTCCAATTCAATTTTTAGAAATAGGATAAAATAACAAAAATTTCATAAAATATCTAGATACAGAATAAAAATCTCAAAACGTGATATTTCAACAACTGAACTGTTAGGACAATATATTACACTACTCACTGTATTTCTAAGCCAAGAATCCGAAATAAAAGTATTTTTGTTCAGAAGCAATTTATTTTTGTGTCTGATCTTGTAGTTCAACTAAGAAAAATATTGATATAGTATTTAACTTATTTAATAACCCTCCTTTTAACCAAAAGTAATTCAGAGGGATTAGTTTACTTCACTGTATAGTACAGGATAACAACATGAATAACTTTCGTTAAAGTGATCATCTTTCCTCGAACTCAGTACTAATCATTGACCTCCAATATGCTAATATCTACGTATTATCTTAGTTAAGAGAATCAGACCCGAAAACGAACTTCATCAGAATAAACATACCGTTTTTTCTGCGAATTTAAATCTCTGTGTCTCAAAATATGAGATGTAGCCGCTATCTAAAAAATAGATTTACCAAAAGCCAATTTTAAGGAACAGCGAAAATTATGAAGAAAATGGGAAATATAATGACAACTGAAGCTGACTTCATCAGGGGGTACCAGTCCATGAAGTCATAAATGATTGGCTTTTATGACTTTTGGGAAGTAATATCTAGAGAAAAAGATATTTTTGTGTCTGATTCTGAAACTTAACTAATTGTTAGCAGTAATTAGTTAGGTTATTTATTGTTTGGCCTTTAAACCATTAAGTTAGACACTTTACTTAGTTCGTGAAAATTCGATCATTTAAACAAAATGTATTCAGGGCTGAATAGCTATTTAATCATACAATATATGAAGTCATTCACGGTAGTCGGATGCGAAATGAATTGAATGCGGATTGAACAAACTTACATGACGTGCCATCATACATGACTTCTTAAAAAATTCGAAAGAAATGAGTACACATGCTCCTGATTTCGATGAAATTCCACCAAAAAATTTTAACAACAAATTGAAGAACACGTGCGAGACTAAGTTTACTTGAAGCAGTTCCAAAAATATACAAGTAAGAAATTTATTTTTGAAAATGTTATATTTTATTAATTTTAACGTTCAAAATAATATTTTATATTGAATCCGCTAACATTAAAAATATTGTATCAATTTATTTTAAATTTTTCAATCACGAATTCAATTTCTAGATAAATCAGTTTATATATANCCTTCGTGGAGGACATTTTGATGGAACTACATGAAGATTAAAACCACGAGAACCACCCACAGTCAGCCTGACTGCAAGGGGACTCTAACTCATGATCAGTCTATCACTGAGGATATTTCACTTCAGCATTGTGGTCGGTGCAAGTTGGATGTGGAATTCGTATCGACCAGCCACAGCCGTGATTCGAACCTGGTTCACCTCATTGGAAGTCGAACGCTCTATGCCCTGATCCATGATGGCTAAAATGCATATTTTAATCATAACTATGGAACTAATTAGTAATCAGTTTTTTATGATTGCATTACAAATTAATTAGGTTTTATATATTTCTCTGCGAATGGCACAGTTAAATGCATAAATTTAAATTAATTATTTCCTAATAAATAAATAAAAAGAGTTTGAAGAACGAAAACTTGTGGGTAAAATAATCTCTGGGTATCTATAAATAAATATCTAAAAATTATTTTTTTATTATTTTTTTAAAGTTATTTAGTTGTAATAGTTAATTACTAACCTTTCTTGAAGTTTTTTTCGAATATTATTATGAGTTTATTTTCACTATTATTCTAAATTGAAAACCAAAAATTAAAAGTGGATTTCATTTCTTATATAAAAAAATCCCGTATCATTACACTAATATGTAAAGTTTCTGAAAAACATATTAAAAACTTTAGTAACTTAATCATTATGTAATTATTAATCAGTAAATAAGTTATATTTATTTATTTACGTAATACCACCTTGATAAAAAAGTTCCCGGAATAACCCCCGGGTGGCGCTACTATCGTTCCGATTTGAGTTCTGTTTTTTTTGTTAAGTTGGTACATCTGTTGTTGATATTCCTTCTAAATCTTAGCGTCATAGCTGGACATTTGCAAAAGTTACGTAGCCATCTATCTCTGTGTGTGTTGGCGATTTCTTACAATTTTAGAAATGGATTTAAATTTGCAACAATGAACTTGTATTAAATTTTGCGTAAAAAAACGGATTTAATGGTGCTCGAACGTTGGAAATGTTGGAAAAGTGTTTCGGCAGCGATTCTCTAAAGAAAACGGTTTTTTACCAGTGGCACGAGCGATTCTAAAGTGGTCGTGAATCAATCGAGGATGATGAACGTAGTGGCAGACCATCAACATCGAAAACCGACGAAAACATTGATAAAGTAAAAGAAATGTTAGTCAATAACCGCAAATTAATCATCAGAGAGATAGCGGAGGGCTTGAACATTGCCTATGGATCCGTCCGAGACATTTTGGTTAGTGATTTGGGTTTCCGTTGTGTGGCAGCAAAAGTTGGTGCCAAAAGACCTGAATTTTATGCAAAAAAAAAGACCGTGTTGACGTCGCAAAACACATGATTTGCGAGGCTGAATTCGATCCCATATTCCTCAAAAGGATCATTACTGGAGACGAGACGTGGGTTTATGAGTACGACACGCAATCCAGACATCAGGCAAGTGAATGGCGCTCATCAAAGTGAAAATCGCAGGAAGCACTGATGGACATACCGAAAATCGAATATAAAAAAAATTTATTGCAAACGAAAGTTGCAAAAATTGGAATTTGATCAAGGTGGTAAGCTCAAAAGGAAAACATTTCAACTTAAAATTTGAAATTATTTTGCTATAAAATTTTCAAAATTTTTAATATGAATTAACTTTATACAACATTACTATACAATCTGTTTGGGGAAAGAAGAAAAAAACAAAAAAACATTTAAATGAATTTATTGCAAACGAAAGTTGCAAAAATTGGAATTGGACTTCTGATTAAATAATTTAAAACTTTTGCGTAACAATCTGTTTATCGTTAAAAAAAATAAACCTAATAGCCTAGCAATCTCAAGCTTTCCTCCAAAAATGGTTACATTTCAACAAAACAAGTGACAAATAGGACTGAACTTTCAACTTTGATGTTAGAAGCAAGAAGCTATATTAAAATCTACCAATTTTAAGAAAACCCGAAATAACTCGGGTTTTTTAATAGAAACTTGATAAATCATTGCTTCTGTTATTATTTGTTGTTTAGTAAACAGTACACCATTTCAACTAATAATTGTGTTATTGTAAATTATTAAAATATAATTTTATGCGGAACAATAATGCATTAAAGTATTGAGAAAAATGAAAAACAAACTATTTTCGAAATAGATGAATAACATTTTTAAATAACAAACTATTTTTTAAATAGATAAAGGATGTTCGAACTAATTTCTTGAAACTGCAAGTTTTTTTCTTCTTTTCTTCTTTTTTATATTTATCTTAATGCACAAAAATCAAATAAATTAAAATTCTGCATATTTTCATACTAAATATCAATACATTTATTTATTTTTTAACCATAATTAATTCAGACAAAAGCATTTTCTATGTTATTATTGTTAAATATATTATTGTTATCAAAGTAATATAGACTTCTTGTATTATGTTTCAACTTGAGAATCACGCAATGCTTATAAGTGAAGGGAAAAAAGTTAAAAAAATAATGTCAAGATTTATTAAAAGAAAAGAAAAACAAAAGAAACATCAGAAATAAAAACTGTGAATGAATTTGCGTAAAATAATAATGCTAATTATTTCGCTTATGTTACGTTGAACATGTTATCGAGCACGTGAAACGGAAAATAAATAAATAAACGGTTCCTCAATAGATACTGCTTTACATCACACTTTTTAGTGTTCCAAAGCAGTTAAAAAAATCCTTAACATCATCTTCAACACACTCTTTTCCTTCATGTGTTTCCCCTTTGGATAAAATACAAAATTATTTTCCCATCTTTGACTACCTCACCTGCTCGACCCCACCTTTTTTTCCATTTTAACAGTTTGAGAGAAAGAGCTGTTGGGTCAAATGACGATGGAGCTAATTCGAATTTATGTTGTATAAATGTATAGCTAAATAAAATGTTTAAAGAGAATAGAGGAAACTACGATAATTATTAACTGTAAACTGCAGAATCTGAAATTTATTTAACAGTACTAACATTTTCCAACTGAAGTTTTTTGAAAGGGAGAAAGAACTGCTAGAAAGCATACTTCCTTGCAAGTTAAAAATCAACGCAAGTGACAAAACATTCAAAATTGAGATTTTTATAAATATGGTATCTTTGTACGGTAAGTTACATATTGCAAAAAAAAAAATATTTTAAAAAATAAATTTTATTTTATTAGCTTCTTATAACACTAATTTAGCACTTGAAATAGAAGGGAAATAGTTGTTAAACCGCTTTTCTCGGAACATAACTGTTCTATCTATATTTTGAAAGCATCCAAAACAGTGTTTTCCGAAAACACCGCTCTTCGTGAGTTTTAAAATTTCAGTCGAAAGTTAAAATATTTTAGATAAAATAAAGGTAATTAAAATTCGTAAAAAATTCTCCCGATTAATTACAGCATAATTAAACAATTAAAATACAATTTTCTCATTCTAAGTGAAACAAAATGGTATCGAACTGAAGGAAAAGCGAACACTTTTAAAAATTTTTTAAAAGGAATTGCTTTTAAATATTTTCATATCACGTATGCTGTGATTGAGGATTTCTCAACCTTTAATAATTTTCTTT